TGTCCCTCAGCAAACAGTCCTCGAAGAAATTGGCGTGTCCCCCATTGTTACTATACTTCCTGTGGGTCTGCAAAGCACAGGAGAATTGTGTAGCGTTCATGAGATTAGTGCAGAGGTCTGTGGGCTCCATGTTTCTGTCACAGATGGCAGCCACTGAACAGTGCCATGTGAATTTGTGGAATATTTTTAAAAAGACACAAGTTATGGGATATGAATAGCATGATGGGATGGAGAAAGTTGCATTCTGAGAACTTGACCTCTAGCTCCCAGAGATCCCTGGGCAAGTCTTTTCTATCCCACAGAATGTGAAAATTTCCCAAAAGGCATTGCGCTGGATGTTGGCATGTGACTCACTGGAATGCCTACTCATGGTGCACTACAGTTTGCATCGACACAAGCACTCCAGGTGAGTATGTGCAGCGCCAGTGCAAGCAGGCACGTATTTCATGAGCAATAGACAAAATTCGGCAGCTGTACTCCCACATAATTTGTGTTGACCAAAGTTTTAAGATATGATCTCAATTGAAGGGTGTCAGATTTAGCCTATGGAATGGGCTAAAATGTTTCATAGGCTGGACTATGCATTTAGGGCTACATATGGCCTCCCATGCGCTGATGTCAATGGGAGGTTTTTCATAAAGGTCATGGGTAAAATATGGTCTTTATGTGGTAATTGAATTTTAGGACCATTGACTTAATGGAACTAAGTCAGTTAGCTGAGGATCTGACTTTTGGTTATTAATATTGAAGAACATAAATCCACACCGTGTAGAGGTCAAAGCTCAGAGACACTGTCAATCAATTGATTACAATGAAATATATAGATTTTCCATGGGCGGGGGAAGGTGACAGGGTAGGCAGTTCCACACCCCGGGATAGGTTTTGCAGCAAGACAAGATAGCACAATAGCCAATGGTTAAAAGGTTACACAATGTCTCCACCCATGGTCTCAAGTTAGCAAGTTAACATTTGATTAATACTTTGATAAAATGTTATTAGTATAAAATATATATGTTGAATTCTGATTTGGGGTCCATAGGAACGGAGTAACTCCTTTGATTGTCCGACAGGTACATGTCTAGGGGATAAAGCAAAGAAACAGTGAAAGCATATGAAAATAGAGATTGTCTCCTTTATGTCTTAAGGCAGGGCATTGGTCCCTTGGAAGGGAGGTGGAAGGATGCCATATCATTATAGTGACATGTACCAATTTTTCATAAACTCAAGGTTGGATCTGTGGGAAGACTGTTTTCCCTTCAGGAGAAACACAATAGGAACAGGGATTCTTTGTTCAATTTGAAACATTGGATGAAACATAATTATTCAGTTATTGCCTTAACATCTGGCATTTCTACTGACCAAGCAGATCTTAGCAAAGGCAATGTTATTTTGTTTACCCCAGCTTTCTCTTAGCTGATCACTATTAGCTAGGCCTCTGGTCTCCAGACCAAACTCTGGACTTTGGGTCTGGAAAAGAGCTGGCATAATTCATATACCAGGTTGCTATATAACATGCACATGGATTTTAACCCTTCAAATATTATTTGCTCAATACTTTATTGTTGCATTTAGCATCATTTATTGGGGAAAATCTGTGCCTCGTTAAGGCCACAGCTATTTTTGCCCTTTGTTTCTAACCTTTCCCCATCCTCTCCCTTCACTGTTTGTCTCCTTTGTTGTTCTTATTTCACATGTGCTTCACTCCCTTTCCATCTGCTACAATGGTCAGCAATGAAATAGTTAATTTTGACTTTTAAAATGTCATCTTCAGACTTTAGATTTACACCTCTGAGTGAGATTAATGGAGGTGGGGAAGTTGACACCTCTGAGTCAGACTGTCTGCACGTGGAAAAAGACAACTTTGTGTTACACTTGGATCACACTTTGGAGACTTTTGTGCTAGAATGTTATTTTTTTAAAAGACAAACCAGCAAATCTGAGCATGTCATGTGGCTCTCCATGACATTAAGTAGGTCAGACATTTGACTTAGCTGGACTGCAACATTCAACTTTCCTGTATTGTATGCAGTGTTCCTGGATTAACATGGCTAAAATGATTTTAGAGAGGCAAGGTGGGTGATGTAATATCTTTTATTGGGCCAACTTCTGCTGGTGAGAGAGAGATGCTTTTGAGCTTACACAGGGCCTATCTTCAGGTTCGGGAATTGAAACTCGGAGCATATTTCCCATACCAGAAGAAGAGCTCTGTGTAAGCTCAAAAGCTTGTCCCTCTTACCACAGAAATTAGTCCAATAACAGATATTGCGTTCTCCACCTTGTCTCTCTAACTTTACTGTTACTGTTTCTGCCTATTCTTAAGTTTATCAAGCATGGTAGAAATCATTTCTTTCGAGAAATCTGCTGCTGCTGCTGCAGTTTCTAAAGAACAAAATGGTCTCTCTGAATGGTGCACTCTGCTGCAGATGGAGCTGTCAGTTTGGAGCTTTTTCCCATATTTTCAGTGCTCACTTCCCCTCTCCCCGCATTTTCCAGTTGAAAAAAGTAAAGTGAATGTTGTCATCCAATTGTCTCCCTCCCTTTGCTCTGTCCCACTTTTTCTAACCTTTTCCATTGTCAGAAAAGTATATGAGGAAGGGAGAGTAGGTTTGTCTTGGTTTAACTTCCCCATCCTTTTTCAGTGGGGGTAAAGAGGGAACAGATGAAAAAAGAAGTCAGTGTAGAAAAATGAAAATCAACAACCAAAAAGTTTCTGTTTCTGAAAACTAAACTAATAGAAATTGAAATGAATGGAAATGAAAAATATGAGAGAGAATTAAATGAAAATGTTCATTTCACTTCAAAATATCTTGCAAAAAATAAATTATTGTTCCAAAAAAAGTCAGTAAAATACCCTGTTATTTTTACCCATTCTACCCAAGCCCTAGCTCCTTTTCTAGAAACATAAGTTTTGCAGGATCATGCTAGATACCTGCTTTGTATGATTGTATGATCTCAGCTTGTACTCACTGTGATGTTATATGATTAAAACATGACCATGTAGATCATTGTTGCTACCACTGTTATATAATTGCAACAAATCTTATACAAAGTGTGTCAAGTAAGGTGTCAATGGAAAAGTAATGATTTACTGAATATGATTATGCTATTTGTATGCATGTATCATTTTTATATCTGAAATTATGAATATTAACTATGTACCTGTATTTCAAATGTGTTTGCTCATGTGGTAACACCCGCAAGGTATTTAGCCAGCACCTTGCAAAGGAACTATATACATTGAATGGCCCATCAAAGAACACTTAACTCACAATGAGCCATGGAAGATGCCTATCTACACTTAATGGGCTTTTCCTGAGAACATTCTAACTAGAGTATGGGTAATGGCTTCTGCTATGACTAAGCAAAGCAGGCATGGACATGTGACTTGCACATGTGACTCCAAACCCCATCTTGTTAGCTGTAATTTTTCACAAACTAGAACAATGGGTTTCTCTTCACTTGAGCTATGGCTACACTGGCGCTTTACAGCACTGCAACTTTCTCGCTCAGGGATGTGAAAAAACACCCCCCTGAGCGCAGCAAGTTACAGCGCTGTAAAGTGCCAGTGTAAACAGTGCCACGGCCAGTAAGCTGTAAGCGAATCCCCTCAGGGAGGTGGAGTATCTGCAGTGCTGGGAGAGCTCTCTGGCTGGCACCGCGACCACACTCGCACTTCAAAGCGCTGCCACGGGAGCGCTCCCGCAGCAGCGCTTTGGAGTTTTGAGTGTAGCCATGCCCTTGGCAGAAGCTATAAAAGGCCCTGGAAACATCCTCCATTTTGACTCTTTCCTGCTCTGATCTAGTAATGGGAGCATTCTAACCAAGGAACTGAGGACCTTCCAATGATTTGGAAGCAACCAGAGACTTGATTTAAGCCAGCAGTTTATTCCATCATTGCTATAAGCCTGATCCAAGAACTTTGCATTTATTGTGTGTATTTCATGCCTTTAACTCTCACCTTTCCTTCTTTTTAAATAAACCTTTAGATATTAGATACTAAAGGACTGGCAACAGCGTGATTATTGGATAAGATCTGAATTGTATATTGACCTGGGTATGTGTCTGGTCCTTTGGGATCAGAAGTACCCTTTGGTCGATGAAATTGGTTTTAAAAAAACCACTCATCATTAAGTCTAGTGTTTTTGGTGGTGATACAAAGACTGGAATGCCTAAGGAGACTGCTTTTCTGACTTCTTGTTAGCTAGTGTGGTGAAACAGAAGTTTACTTTTGTTGCTGGTTTGGTATATCTTATGGGAGAATAACCACCTGTTTGGGGGGGGAGGGGTCTGCCCTATTTCTCAGCAGTTTGTTCTGAATTTGGTATTCTCAGTTGTGACCTACTGAGGCATGGTGACACTCACCCTGCTCTTTTCTTCCTCATCTCTCCACCCTCCCTTTCTTGCCTTAAAAAGTAAAGTATATATATTTTCCAGGTTGCTGGCACTCGGGCCTCTGAAGTCTTAACTTTGAAAGAATCCTGGTTTTATGGCTGGAGGCAGAAAAGTGCTCACCAGATCTGCAAGGCTCGTTGCCCTGTCAATTGAAATGTTGGCAGTGGGGAGCACCGTGAAACCTGACAATCTTCCCATGCTTTCAGAGTAAAGGTGCTATGCTAAAGAATGAGAGTGTCATGTGGAATGGTCAGAGGAGGAATAATGGAATACTTCCTTTTTTAAAAAAAAATTGAAAGGATAATTGCATCTAAGCTTTGACTAGTCAGTGGTTCCAATCAGAGGAAGTCTTCAAAGATTGCAAACTTTTGCTGTAATGGAAACAAGTCAGATTTTCAGTGCCTCATTTTGTTCTCTGCATGGTCTTCTTTCAGACCCTCTTCTAAGGGAATGGCTCCTTAACACCACCTTCTGCTGAAGGCTTCTTACTCCAAAATTGTGTTCTAAAATCTAGAAACAAATATTATTCTCAAGTTTTAAGATTTACTTTTGGTCTAGTTCACCAAGGATTTTTCTATGCCTGGTTTTAACTCTGTGTTTCTTTGCAGGTTCTTGTCACAATATATGCAGACTACATTGCCCCTCTGTTTGATAAATTCATTCCACTTCCTGAGGGAGAGCTCAAACAAGCAATTGAAATGATGGCAAAAAGTATTGACTTTCCTTTGACTAAGGTCTATGTTGTAGAAGGTGAGACTTTTAAGTAAACACAGAGTTCATAAACCCCTTACTTTTTAGTTTCCTTTTAGTTTTATTGATTGGGGGGGTATTTAAGTTTGCCAACTCATGTGCTTTAGGTCAGGGCATGTGCTCTAGTTATTTCCATGAAGGCACATAGAGCCGTTTGTGTCTTAGGGTCAGTAAAGTTATAATAAAGTTGCCAGAATGAAAGTTGCCTGTGCAACCTTAATTTAGCGTCCCCCTCCCCCCTCAATACGTGTGTATGTATTTTCAGCATTTTATAGGAAGTATGTCATAGAGCAAAGAATAAAACCAGGCCTCCTGGGTCCCAGTTCAGTGCATTAAACAAAGGAAAATCCTCTCGCAACCCTGTGCCTCATTAAATGTCCATTTTCTATAGTTGCTGAAGCAAGTATCCGATGGATGAAATTCTTTCATCGTGATTAAAAGCAATGCCATAATACATATGTACAAGGAAGTCAAATTAAGGTCACACAGCAACTTTCATTCTGGGATTTCCTAACTTTTAAGCATTTGACATTGCAACCTTAACATGCTTTCCTAGGTTTAAAACACTCTGAAAATTCATCATGTGGAAACATATCAACCCCAGACATGTCATCAACAGTCTGAATCTAAGACCTTTATTTCACAGCACAGATCTCTACTACTTGAGCTAAGGGAGTATCAGTTAGTAATATAGACTGTTACCTTCTGTGTGGACCTGCCGCTAGAAGGGGGTGTCATACATAGCTCAGTGGTTTGAGCATTGGCCTGCTAAACCCAGGGTTGTAAGTTCAATCCTTGAGGGGGCCATTTAGGGATCTGGGGCAAGAATCTGTCTGGGGATCAGTCCTGCTTTGAGCAGGGGGTTGGACTAAATGACCTCCTGAGGTCCCTTCCAACCCTGATATTCTATGAATACCCTTTTGCTAGTGGCTTTTCACAACTATTTATTAGAAGAATATTGTAAGTTAGGATTCCTGGGTTCTATTCTTGTTTCTGGCAGGGGTGTCAGATACAGTGGTTAGACAGTGCAGCAAGGCACATTTATTCAGAAAGGCAATGTGGTCAATGTATGAGATTTGGGTTCTATTCATGACTCTTCCAGATGCTACCTTGTGTTACGTCTGCAAAATGGGGTGAATTATATTAGCATGTCTTGTAAGGTATGATACCATGCTTAAGAATAAGGGCTGTGGAATGCATAGAATTGTTAATACCAATCAGTGGAAGCCTTTAGACTAGAACCCATGTTGTCTTTTAACTTCCAGCACAACACACCTTCTCTTAGGTCAAAAGGATATTTTGCAGCTCCTGTTTTGCCTGTATCCCATCTAGAACCATGTAAGGCTCTCTAGAGTCTAGGAGCAGGTACAGTGGAGTTGCCGCGGAGGGAGCTGTGGGGGTGGGAACGTGCTTGGTGAAAAAGGTCTATAATTTCAGCAGTGAGCCTCTAACAGGCTCTGCTCATCTTGTGCGAATGACAACTTTCAGAGGCCAAATACAGGTTAATTTTCATGGGGACAGCAAAAAGCACCTCTATGACCTAAAGAGTATCCATCCAAATTTTAATTTCACATGCCACATTATTGAGGCACTGGAGCTCTTTAAAGAAATAGTGTGTGTGGGGTGGGGGTGTTTGAACATTTGCAAAACTACCTATTTTTTCCTAACATAATTCTTGGAAATAGCTGAATTGTTGAAACGTACAAAATACTAGACTGAGGTAAAGAGCAAAAATGGAAAAATTAGCCCAGATTGTTAGTTTGGCAAAGTTCTGAGCAACTAAAACACAGGCACACAATGGAAAGTGTTTGGAAACCTTACCTGATCAGTATCATTATCAGCTCTTCCTATTAATTAACTATGGTACTAACTTAAGATCTTATCCAAAGCTCCTTGAAATCAGTGGGAGCCTTTCCATTATCTTCATTGGGCTTTGGGTCAGCTTTTAGTGTTTAAATCAGTCTTATTAAAACTTTAACAGAGTTAAGGTTGCCTGTTGATAAAACTCAGACTTCTGAAACCAGGAAATGCAGAGTTAAGGTAAATGCCCATGCAATCTTAACTTTGCCCCCCTGGAGCTGGCAATAGCCAATGGGAATTGATGATGATTAATGATGATAGAGGAAAGAATAAATCTCATTGGCATCCTGTATGCAAGTGTAAAGGATATGAAGTGAAAGCTTGGTATTCTGTCAAGGGAGTAGGCTCAGTGTTTGAGCACAAGGCAAGTGCAGGTCATGCCTGTCCATTACAAGGCAGAGTAGGAGTGTGTGTGTGTGTGTGTGTTATGAGTGTTGTGGAGCATTGCTCAAAGAGATACGGTTGTGCGGTCATCTTCTTTAACTCTGTATTTCCTGATTTTTCAGAAGTTAAGTTTTGCTGAACTTGATGTTCTGGAAAGGGACAAGGTGTCACTGGGCAACCTTAACTCTGTGTTAACAAAGTATTTTGCCATTTAATTTAATTTTTTTAAACAAAAAGATTAATGTTTTTGGTAGGAGCAGTGGCCATTTAGCTAGTTTTGCCTCTTACCTAGGTTTGCAGTTGATATGCTACTGGGCTAGGTAATAATCACAGAATCATCTTAGAATCATAGAATATCAGGGTTGGAAGGGACCTCAGGAGGTCATCTAGTCCAACCCCCTGCTCAAAGCAGGACCAATCCTCAACTAAATCATCCCAGCCAGGGCTTTGTCAAGCCTGGCCGTAAAAACCTCTAAGGAAGGAGATTCCACCACCTCCCTAGGTAACCCATTCCAGTGCTTCACCACCCTCCTAGAGAAAAAGTTTTTCCTAATATCCAACCTAAACCTCCCCCACTGCAACTTGAGACTATTACTCCTTGTTCTGTCATCTGGTACCACTGAGAACAGTCTAGATCCATCCTCTTTGGAACCCCCTTTCAGGTAGTTGAAAGCAGCTATCAAATCCCCCCTCATTCTTCTCTTCTGCAGACTAAATAATCCTAGTTCCCTCAGCCTCTCCTCATAAGTCATGTGCTCCAGCCCCCTAATCATTTTTGTTGCCCTCCGCTGGACTTTTTCCAATTTTTCCACATCCTGCTTGTAGTGGTGGGGCCCAAAACTGGACACAGTACTCCAGATGAGGGCTCACCATGCCGAATAGAGGGGAATGATTACCCCCCTTGATCTGCTGGCAGTGCTCCTACTTATACAGCCCAAAATGCCGTTAGCCTTCTTGGCAACAAGGGCACACTGTTGACTCATATCCAGCTTCTTGTCCTCTGTAACCCCTGGGTCCTTTTCTGCAGAACTGCTGCCTAGTCATTCTGTCCCTAGTCTGTAGCAGTGCATGGGATTCTTCTGTCCTAAGTGCAGGACTCTGCAGTTGTCCTTGTTGAACCTCATCAGGTTTCTGTTGGTCCAATCCTCTAAATTGTCTAGGTCCCTCTGTATCCTATCCCTACCTTCCAACGTATCTACCACTCCTCCCAGTTTAGTGTCATCTGCAAACTTGCTGATCAAAAGACCTAGCTTTTGTACAGTGATTTTCTTCACTAGATATCAAAGAACTTTTCATTATCTCGATTTTACAGGAAACTGAGGCACGGAGTTGAAGTGACTTGCCCAAAGTCACCCAGCAGACCAGTGGCAGAGCTAGAAATGGTTACAGTCCAGTGATCTTTCCACTGGTTGCTAGGTGATTCCTCATTGCTCCTTTCCCCCTCCTGTACATCTTGTTATAATGCAATGGGGATGATGGTCATGCTTTGAAATGTTTGCAGCGTGTAGTAGCTGACAGGGCCAGTGAGAGAAATCTCAGACATTGTCTATGTTCCAAAATCTTGACAATTTTATTATATTGTGCTTACCAAAATATTTAAGCATCTTAGGGCATGTCTTCACTGGCAACGTTAAAGCGCTGCCGTGGCAGCGGTTTAATGTGGCTTGTGTAGTCACAGCATAGCACTGGGAGAGAGCTCTCCTAGCGCTCTAAAAAACCCACCTCCATGAAAGGAATAGCTACCAGTACTGGGAGCGTGGCTCCTAGCGCTGGTGCACTATCTACACTGGCACTTTATAGCATTGAAACTTGCAGTACTCAGGAGGGTGTTTTTTAACATCCCTGAGCAAGAAAGTTGCAGCGCTGTAAAGTGCCAGTGGAGACAAGCCCTAAGAGAAGACTGGTGTGAGTGTCTTTCTCCTTCCTTTGCCCCACCATTCCCTGCCAACATTTCTAGGTCACCCTCCCATTCCAATCCAATTAGCACCCAGAACACAATAGCAGGATAGCAGGCTCAGAAATTAGATGTTCTTAGCTGAAAAAGCATACCCAGTGGAGCTGAATATAGCCTGAAACAGTAGCTCTGAAACATCAACTGCTGCATTCATGTCAGTCGGTGTTATTTTCTCCCCTCCCTACTGCAGGTTTCCAGTTTGTGTCAAGCATTCCCAGTTTCAGCCATGTGTTCTTGGTGCCTGTTCTAAGTTCCCCACCCAGAGGGGCAAGGTTTCCACAGATCGTGGCTCACATGGGGGGATCAGAAGGGAGAGTCCCCTATAACAGGGCAGGGCCCACAGATCCTCGTTTACAGAGGGGGGGGGTAGGGAGATGGGCTTATACACCTCCTTCTCTCCCACTTCCCCCCCCCGGCCCCCCCAGAAAGGCAGGCTTCCCAGATCACAAGGAGAGCCAGGAAGAGGGGCCATACCCCATAGATGGTCTGGGGACCCCCAGATTGGGGTGCAAACATGGGTGGGTAATGTGGGGTTGAGAAGTGCCTCTGCTCCTATTCTCCCCCAGTCATCCTGTCACCGCCAAGACCCCCATCCCAGTGTCCCACCCATTACCTGCCCCCCCCCCCATTAATCGCCCTCCAAATAACCTCTCTTCCTCTCACTGCATCCCAATCCCCTCTCCCCCTATTCCCACGTACTCTTCCACCACTAATCATGCTTCCCTCCCAGGGAAGTTACACATTTGCACATGTAACTTATTTTCTTCTCAAAAACAGTTTAATTACCTTCTGAATATTCTGC